AATTTCGAATTCTCTAAAAATAATCAATATATCGATTTTTTAATAAATACAATTTTGAGATTAAATAATATATTTTTGGAAATAATATATATATATATGTAATGTTATGAATATTTATCTAAATATGTGATTAAATTAATTTATTATATTTTGTTAATCTATGATGTATTTGTTAAGGGTAATCCAATTTTTGGATCACCTTCATATTGTATTAGTTGATCATTGGAATCATCACCTAAGAATATGTGCATTTCATAGGCCTGTGATTTTAAAACAATCAATGTTGCCTGCTAGCAACACAATATAACACCATGAGATTGTACGCGCAAATCATTAAGAAAAAAACATATTGACAAAGAAACGCTACAAACAAATCACGCTTAGAGAGCTGCCTGCTGGCATCTGCTACCCTGAGTTGGGCTGTTCATTGGATCTGAATCTAGGCCAACCATATTCCACACCCAGCTCGAGCGCATCGCGAAGGATAGACGTCAACCTACCTGAGGACAATACTTTTTGGAGATGCCTGCAACGGGAAAGGGTCTTGCAACATCAGCAGGTTTCTGCGACATGCATCCAACTGCAAGCAAATTCCTATGACCACTCTGTCCTGCCTCCAGCTGCTTCATTGCAGAAGCTTTTTTTAGCAACTTCTGCTGCTGCTCCACATGTGAAATGAAGTCCTCCTGAGGATCCACCTGTCATCAAGCATCAAACATCAAAAACAGCTGTGCATGGGCCTCACAACATGGTACAAAAGTTAGCCCAAGGAATTAGCCGCCAATGTTGTTAGCCTTTCAATACTTCTAGTGTTTGAAGTGGAATAGGCTTTGCTCAAGAATGTATATTCTAAAAATATGCACTTCTTCCCTTGAATGATGACCTTTTTTGCCTGCGATTGTCAAGAACCAAACTATGGGCACAGGACAGCTGACAGAATCTGAGGGCGAAACCCATTCCGTGACGCTCCACTTTGGTCGACCAGATATCTTGCGCCGTACGTTGGGCACATCTGGGCCAGCCTGGACAATGATCTTACAGTTGTGATGTCCTCCTTCGCTCCACTTGTATTGTGTCGATGTCTGTAGACTTGTTCTTTAAGAACAATCGCTAATAGGCTGAAGGCCATTGCTATTAGGTTGGAGGATGTTGGAGGCCAATGCTATATTCTCCTTGCCTCTCCCAGTTCCGTTGCTTTGCGCAGCATAGCACGGTTCCTTGCAGCACGGTGCGCGAGCTTCACCCCCCTCACCAGCAAACATTCTAAAACAATCTAAAACATTCTTTGTGGGCCAAACGTTGCATAGCTTCTAGCCCGGAAATCTCAATGTCAACAGCTCAATCAGTTGCGGTGCAGCGGGGTGAGGAGAATCCGGGTCACTGGAAGCTACTGCACTGGAGGCCGCGGGACGGCGCCAGTTCCCAGTTTACATCCTTGTGCACCTGAACTTCATAACTTAAGAGACAAGTGGGCAGCATGACTTGAAGAAAGGTCAGACCCGTTTCCGCCTGAAAGGCTTGGGAATTGTGGGATCAATCTCCACATAGGGCTCTATACGCCTGACACGTCGGCCACTTGCAAGGGCCAACAACACAGCGGAATCGAAACATCACATCTCGGTGGCTTGGCAACAACGTCTGAAGCTTGCCTAGAAGTTCCAGTAGGCTGGTCATTTCGCCAAATCACCGATCTAGTAGCATATAATAGACATCGATCAATGACAAGAACTCTGTACTATCCTGCACTGTGATTTGACAAGTACTCTTCTGTGTTCACTCCCAACTTGAGAGCCACATGCAGCCGGTACGTGCATACCGTATTACCTGCTTCACTTGACTAGAGATCACACGAAGCACCGAAGCATCTACAACAATACCGACAGTCGGCGTCACAAGCCATGCTGGTGCCACCCAATGGTGATTTTGTGAAGTCGCGTGTCTCCAAACTCATCAACCTTCGCGCCGATACCTGCCACGCATGCCATCAATTGGGTAAGCCTTGTCAATATGTTCTTGCGCTGGAGACTCTTGAGCACGTGCAGTGAAATTAAGTTTGCTTTTGGACGCAGTATACAGTATATAAGTAAGACTGCAACAAACATAGATACACCAGAGCTGACTCTCCCTGGAACTAACATGGAAGTGGACAACCCGCAGTTTGCAAAGGAACATGTTCTTCCAAGGGGCCATTTTCCACTTCCATGTTAGTTCCAAGTTCCAGGGAGTGTAAGCATGCTAAGCAAGGCTGACATGCTGACATGCGCCAGTTCAGCCAAGAAACCATGTCTATACCTGGCACAACGGTTTGGCTTGCAGGCTTATTGTGTTATATAACTCATGTGAACTCCACCGGTATGCTTGGAGCAGGTCTTGAACAGGACATGCATAAAGCACTTGTAAAGTTGTTCGAAGCAAAAGCATGCGCCTAGTGATTCACACTTCCGCACAGGTGTTGCTGTTTAAAGTTTTGAAATGTAAAGCCGAAAATCAAGCGAGCAAATCGTAGCCTCATCTTGATGTAGCACATTACCTTGGCCTCAATATCTGTCCTCGTCTTCGTCCTGGATCAAGGTTGCTTGGCCAACACCACTGGTAGCCATTCGGATGTCCACTCGTGATGCGTCTTTACAGGTGGAAAAGAGGGACAACTGCCCATCTATGGTCCATATGTCCCCTTCATTTCATGCCGTGCTCGCCTTATCAGAGTGCCAAAAGGAAACTTGTGGCCTGTTCTGAATTTAATTGCTCCAACGGTCCAACTCTCTCCGCAGTGTGCTTCATAATTTGGAGGGTCATGTCCTGTTGGCTTACCAGCCCAACGAACAAATGTATGTCCAAGAAATGTGTCCAAGCCAAGGCCGACACCACTTGTCTTTATCCAAGCCCAGTCTTCGAAATGACCATAACAAAGCCTGCGAGTATGCGCATGGGGCCCAGTGAGATAGCCGCTTCTTATGTAGACGCCAGTTCCGTTCCAAGCATGACTGTGAGGTGACTTGGAGTCATTGGACATGTTGGATCAGGGGTGCCACAGCCCGCGCCACAGCCCAAAAAGTTACAAACTCCGAATACTCCTTCGACATGTTTGGCTAAAAGTCTGAGCGCGCGACATGAAGTTGATCTGGTTCCAGGAACCTGCATGGTTAAAAGACATGGACAGGGAAGAATAAGAATTTGAGCTATCACCTGTCATAGTCGCGAGAAAAACATTCTGCTCCAGCCCCATGGCTCTGAAAACATCTGGTGCCCATGGTCAGAGATCAGAGTCAACCGGAAACATGTGCGGCGCTTATGGCCATGCGACCGGCGCCTTATGACATAATTTTCAGGCTGCAGCCGATCCATGAGAATTTGCTGGAACCTGAGGAAGAGAGACACAACTCCACGTTCGAGGAACATCCCTCCAGCTTTGAACCAATTGGACACCCCTCAACAAGTATCGAAACATGACAGAAAACTACAAAGGCATACAGCGGCTGGCAGTGGGATAACAACCCTGGCGTCCAACCATTGGGTCATATCGGCATTTTTTGTGCCATGCGCATGGTCCCGACAACCCTTGCAGCTACAGCAATCCCTTCAGCACATCAAACTGAAGTGGGTCCTGAAAAAAAAGGAGGTTTCAAGTTTCAAGGAGCTTTTCCGTCCTTTTTTCATATGCATGAAATGTGTTTTAGACCTGCTATTCTGCTCTGAGCAGCGGAGCAAGCAATCGCGCGGCCCGATTTCTCCTAAATCGATGGTGTCTCAAAAAATGTCTCAAATGATCTCACACACCTTCTTTATCCTGCTTTGGAGCAACTCCGTGATGCAATAACATTTGATGTGGTTCCTATTTGGTGGCATTCCAATTTCCACGAGTTGCCCATTGCAAGACAGAACTGTCTAGCTCGAGAAGCTCACCCAAACATGCCAGTGCTGAGGGCAGTGCTTTTCGTGATGAAAGTCCAGCTTCGCAAACGCCTCAGCTTGGCCCAATGGGTATGTACAACTCAAATGAGAGAAATTAAGCTCTATGCAATGTCTGCAGGCTTAATGACTTTTATAACGGATGTCTATGTCAAACTATCCGGGTCAAACCACATGGAAGCTAGGGCAGCTGGCAAGTAGTAAGGATGCTTTGTGGAATTTAGTCTGCTGAATATGGTTTGGTAACCTTGCCTGTCCGACCGCTGAGCATGCAAGTGTCAGAACAAAAAGAAACCACGAGTCCAGCAACCTACAGGAAATCACGCAGGAGATGACACAAACGACCAATCTCATCGACTTGGACAAATGGGAGCTCTACCCAGAAAAACATAGAAAAGCTCATTCGCACCCCTTTGGGCTACGCCAACTGCAACTGTCTGAGCTCCAGTACCCAAGTGATCCGTGCAATGTGTCTGGCAAAGTGATTGGCGCGCACTTGTGCATGCCTAGCCTAAGAGCCGGCAAACAAGCCACACATTGGACAGAAACAAGGTACCAGTATTGACTATGCCTTGTGGCCTTTGTGCGAAACAACATATGACAAGCTCACTTGGTGCATCCACCTTTCCATGCCCTCAATTCCTACTCTTGCAACCAATTTGCCGATTGTAAAATTGTGCTCCCCAAAAAGTCCTTCCATGTTGGGGCCAGGATCCTTCCTGGGGTCTTATACAAGCAAACCCAAAAAATTCAGAAGCTAGTTACCCCGATCTGTTCAGACAGAAATTGTATATATATATATATACATACATTTTTTAGATCTTTTGGAACTGTTTCAGGAACTTACAAACACCTACTTGTTGTATTGATTTCCCTCCAAGGCAAGGGCCACAAAGCTATCGGCTGCAATGGTCAAAAGATCCTGGCATCTTGCAAAAGGCTACTCGCGCACCAAACCGTTTCTTTTCGGCGCAAACCTGAGGCAAACCTGTACTTGCGAAAATCATTTGTATCTTGGGGGGATCAGAAGGCCAGCACTGATAACGAGCTCAGTGCACCGACCTCACGCTATGACACGTCCATAAAGGTGTGGGACCTGGTGCCTGGCTACAATCGCGATCAGTATAGCTTATAGTTGAAACATGTTGAAACAAGTCGCAAGTGTAGATTACAAACACTTATATAAGAGGAAAACGGAGGCTCTCTAATTAGCCCTCTGAAGGCTTGTACAATACGGCGGCGGCAAGAACCAACAGGGGCAAGAACCAACATCGGAAATCGCCAATATTCTCCAATTCTACTTGGTTTGCCTAAGCATTGGCCGCTTCCCAACACATGGTACCACAATGGCGAAGGTTCGGATGTTCAGGAGCACTCAGGAGGCCTATGGGCATCCACCACCAACAAGGCAGCACCAAACGGCGCAGCATGTCAACGTGAATTCAAAAGGTCGACACAGCACAACCTTGGAGTCATCTAGAGGACAGTAAGTACTTGACTAAATGCGTTCTTTCGAAGTATAGCTGCTGCATGTTGTTCAAAATTCCCCAAAAGTCTGCTCCAATTGATATGTTTCGGCTGCAGCTTCCCGAATCACCTTTCTCACGCACTTAAAATTTGCATCTCTGTGAGTCTTTTCTGTGTGCAACTATATTCTGTACAGGTATATAGAATCAGAAAGAGTGTCAAAAAAGGCCTGGCGCCGCCAAAATTGAAAGTCCAGGCATAGAACGGCCCACGCTTTGTCGTTGCGGCTGCCATTTTTTTCAGTGTTCGGTGCCCAAGCAGTGTGCAATAGTGTGCAACCAGCAATTGGAACCAACTCAGACTATATTCCAACTAGCATTTGGATGCATCAATTTGGTTGATCTTTGTACTGAAGATTTGAGTATCTTGATGAGGTTTTTCGCGGGTTAGTTGTTTCCTTTTTGAACATCAATGACAATGCACAAGGCCCAGAATTCAAGAGCGACAACATTCAGATGGGATGCAAAGCCTGTGTAAATACTTGTTTTAGCAAATCGAGCAAACCTCCTCTCACTGGCTCCAACTGCTGAGCAGGCTGAGCGCATCTCAAAGCTTCTTGATCTCCTCCACCTCAGCAGCCACACGACGGTAGCCTCGAATCTGGAGAGAGGGTTCTTGTGATTTGAGCTCCTGGTCTGGAATAGCTGCCAGCTGCGAGCCTGAATTCCTCGGTTGAGCAAGCTGCCGAGATACCAAACTAGACCCTTCGTCGCTAGTAACTAGTAAAACACCTTCATCTGTGCTGAGACTTTCTTGGGGGAAACCTCATTGCAAAATGTCCATGTCCAAGTTTATTCGACTGCTTTTGCGACAATAGCTTGACCATGGGTTCTTCTGCGCAGCTTTCATTCACACACCAGCATCTAAGCACAGGCATCGGGAGTTGCAAACCATTGTGGTGAAAGGTTAGCCTCTGGACAACTAGCAAAGCCGGCAGGCTTTACCCAGTGATTCCACACAATCTTTCCAACAAAAATCACATCCATCCCCACAAACAACAACTCTTACCACAACAGATCTGACCGCTTCCGCTTGATTCATGGACCTCACCGTCACCAACCTCAAAACAAACCTTACAGCATCTCACTACTAGTACCACCTGCGCCAGGGAGTCACAAAGAGATGTGTCTGACCTCTACTAGACTAGACACACTGGTCTGCAAAGGAGCCCCACATGCAATTGGAACACCATTCAGCAATCGGAATAGACAACTACTACGCCTTGAAATGGTGGTGGGCCCTTAGGATTCCCTCGCGAATCGGTGAGCAAGAAGCTACCAGGGGCGCTCCTGGCCATACGTATTACTACTAGGAGCAAGAAGCTACGAACGTGACAAAGGGCATCGCTACGAACGGGAAGTGTCGAGGCTCTTCACCACCTTGCTTCCTAGCTCACCATCGGCCAAAAGCCTCAGGGCTCCATCCAGGTCCAGGTCATTCAATGTCACGTTGCCATCAATGAGAAGCTCTGACTTTTGGGAGATGCTGACCTCAAGGCGATGAAGTACGATTGAGGGCAATCGTAAAGGTGTGAAAATGCACCAAACCCACACAATAAGGGACCATGTCCCCATCTGGTTAACTTTCCCCACAATCTAGGAAGCTTCCTTGAAGACGCGTGAACTATCCTGCGTCCAGTTACTGGAAGCCAAATAATTAATAGCTATATAGTAACTTACTTCCTTACTTAATCAATCAAGTAGGCACCTACTGTCTACTTAATTAAGTAAGGAGGCCCTGGGCTTCAATAAGAACGGAGATGTGGCTCCATTCACTGACAAGCGACCTTACCTTTGATCTTTGTCTTCATATCCTTGGCCATGCTTGGATGACGAGGTATTCCGTGGCATTTGAGGGAACGGGCGATGCGGCGATGTATGTGGTCGATGCATGTCATGTGCTGTTTCCTTCCGGTAATTTCACTGATGTTTTTGATACTGATACTGAGACACAGACCTTTCCTGATGCAGCTCCATCTTTGAACCAAGAACTCTTGCAAGGCATCACTGAGCAATATATTTTGAGCATCCCCTTTGATATTAGCACAGAGGGGTCGTTCCACCCATTCTCTAGAGAATCATCTAGAAAATGAGGGGGCTTGACACCTGCTGCCTCTAGAAAATGTCCATGAAAATTCTGTTCATTTTCTAGTGGGAGAAACGTTTTCACTAGAAAATGGTGGGGTACAGGTTCAGAGGTCGTACCCCCAACAGACTAGACTTGCTCTTTCAATCAGCAGAATGAGTGCTATACTCACTGGTGCTTGTTTTTTTTTTTCAACTTGTTGATCTCTAGAAAATGCTCCTCTAAAACCCCTATCCAGGCTCTAGAAAATGACCCTAGAAAATTTGTGGTCATTCTCTAGTGAGGTACCTCTCCTCTAGAAAATGGTGGGGTACAACCTTGGAGGTCGTACCCCCGCATCAGTTTTCTAGAAAATGACCTTGTTCTAGGGGACCACGACCCCCCCCATTTTCTAGAGGAAATACCAACAGGGATTTTTGAGCTGTGTTGAGCTGCTTACTGCTTACCTATTTTTGGCATCCACCGTCCACCGTTGGATTTACAAAGCTGAATTGCACCAGGCCAAAAAAAACCTCGTGGTCTGACTTGGCCCAAAAAGCACTCAAGTTCTAAGTCAAAGAAAGGCTCTTCCAAAGATATTCCAAAACTTGGTGCCAGAATGATGCGAGCTCCAATGCTTGCTGTGATGCCTAAGAAGCTGACATCCTTGGGCTGGGCGATTTTGACCTTTCCTTAGCACCGCCAGTGTGCAATCTGCCAGGCCCAAACATACCTCCAAATTATCCCAAACAGTGCGAGCTCAAGCGCTCGGAGATTTTTGCGACAATGACATTGCCCATTTCAATTGGCGGGGCGAATGCAGCTAAAACCAGCGGAAAGGAACTACTCAAAGATTTAAAGGGTCCTTCACCCGCAAGCTCAAGCAAACGAGCGTTGCAGGCATAAATGTCCGCCTCTGCTGAAAGTGCGCAGTCTGGAGGGTTTTTCTTGGCCGCATCGGCCAAGTTGTTCTTGACACCTGGAGGCAGCATTCTTAGAGAAGCATGGAGGCGGAGAAGCAACAAAAATCTCGAAAACCGACGTCGTGTTCGTGTGTTCCTTTTGGAGTGGCCGGCCACTGAATCCGAGGAAACTGACTCGGTACCATTGTAGAGGCTTAAATGGAACTGTTGCAAGTTCAACGCGTATTTCCAAGCCGAGTGGGCTTAAAATTTGTGCATTTATCGTTCTAGGAGTTCGACTTGGCCTCACGAAAAGAACCGTTGAAAACGCAAAGCACTTTCGGGCAGCACTTGGGCAAAAATGGTTTTGCTATAGTTTTGCTGTTTAGGTTGTCGGTTTAGTTCTCATCAGTCCCGGTTCAAGTCCGACATGTTCATCGGGTTGTTTGAATGTTGCTGAGCTGAGAGCGAATCGTTGTTACATGGTTCCTGTTGATCCATCTCAATCGGAATGGACGTACGTGGAGATCAAAAGAAAACATTATAACATGAGCTCTAAAATGTTAAAACCAAACATGATGTTGTGACACAAATGCTCATGTTGTGAAACAGGTGGCAATGTTTCAGGCATTCCCACCAACACTCCCATACCCCAATTTCAACATCATGTTCTCGCTCGATGGCAATGATGCGAAGCTGATGACAATGATGGTGATGATCGTGATGATGTGTGAGAGAGTGCTAAAGGGCTACTGCAAGCTAATGCGAATCTGTGCCGTAGGCATAAGTATGCATAAATAAATCAACAGGGCAAGCAGTCATTGAGCGGTGGTCAAAACCCTTTGGTCTTGGCCTTATAATCTTTCTTTGCTCACGCGGCCGCTTCTGCAATGCTTACGCCTTACGCTACGAAGGTTTTTGCTTACGTGGTGCTGTTTTTTCTTTTAGGGCTTAGACGGTTCTTTCTATCAGTCATGGGGACAAAAGCAGGTGGAGCGAGGGTGAAAGTGCGCTATGTGCTTGAAGCGTGCCTTTCTCATGCAGCTGAATGCTTTGGTTTCTTGAGAAATATCTTTTTTGGACCGGGGCAAAGAGCTTCATACGAGAAGTTCGCCTACGCAAACCTTACGAATCGGCTTACGCGGAATTCGTGTGGTCGTAGGCCACCCAACCCTTGCAAACATGGCCTTTGAGAGATTGAGTCCCCAACCCTTTTCTGCTAGCAGTGTTTCTCAGCCAAAAACTATTTATATAGTTATATACACAAATATACAGTAAACTGGCAGTGCAAGTAGAAGACTCAAAACTGCTTGCGCACCTCTTACGCATCGCGTGTCCTACTAGTAACCTGGGCTTCCACCAAACCTTACGCAACCCTTACGCCGTGCAGACTTCAGCTTATGCGACAGTCTTGCAGTTTAATCGGATCATGTGGTCCTTTCATAGAGGTTTTGAATGCTGCTCAATTGAACTCTCGGAGCCAAGGTACAAGTGAAGCTCATGAGTCTCTCCAATTGGGTAAACCCCACTTGGTCTTCCTTCTTGCAAAGCCTAGGGAAGTCTTGCATCATGCACTCCAAACGGGTGGGAGACTTGAATTTGCTCTTCTCCGCATCTGCCCACTTGGGATTGACGAACTCTGGGACGATACCACCTGTGGATTCCAGCCGCTCTGCCATGTCGGGCACGCGGAAGACCAACACATTGATATTTCCGGGATATGGAGAAAATCCGCTGGCATCTGCTACATCACCTCCGGCAGGAGTGGTCTTCAACAAGGGATCCAGCTGGTTGTACTCCACATTGATGGTCATGCCTGGGGAGGCAGGTTCCAGCAACATAACAGCAACATAACACATGTCTTCAAAATTTATAATGCACCGCATATCTGAGCTTAAAGAGATTTAGACTCAAAAATAGTCTCCGAATTGCCTAGTCCTTTAATCACTTTACTTTCATTACTGTATGTAATATCCTTCCAATGATGTATTGTATGCTGTGACAGTCTGCCTTCGCCAGAGGCGTCCTTGAGCTTGCAAATTCCGCCGACTGCTTCGGCAGGCAAACGTGGTACAGTCACAGAATTCATGACAAAGTTGCGCGCTGCTGACACCCCAAGAATTGCGCACAAGCTTCGGAAGGGCAATGGGTTGGTGTCTTGGAAAAGCAAAAGCCACTCTCTGCCCTCGCTGGCCCACTTTCTTGGGAGCCCATGCTGGTGAAGCAAAGCATGCACGTCTCCTGATTGTGTACGCTGGAGGAGGTCATACCAATTGATGATGCAAATGAAAGGCAAAACTCATTCAGGTCCGGGCTTGTCACTTAATGCCTACTAGGAGGAAGGACGCTACTAGTAGCTCCTGGCCCCACAACTAGGAGCAAAAAAAGACTAGTAACAAAGGGCATCGCTACGAACGGAGCAAGGACGCTACTACTCTTTAAGGGGTGGACCAGTGGAGGCAGACTCACACTCTAATCCCTTCGCTAGGTTCTTGCAGCAAGCGTCCATGGCCATGGGGCTTTTTCTCCACCTGACCATCTTTAACAGCAATGCGAGCATCTATATCCATCAAAGCAGGGACAAGCTCCTGCTTCATGATAGTCACTTGACTTTTGCCTGAGGCCAGCCACGGGTGGTCTCAATGCTGCAACCAATTCACAAGAGAGGTATTGCAATCGTTGTTGTTGAATCTACCGTGCCTATCAGCTGTTTTCTCTTTGAATCGTTCATATTCAAATATTTTGGTTTTGTTACGATGAAGGGGCTGTGGTATGACAAAAAAAAGGTAACATTCCGACCATCCCGAAATCTCCCCATCTAAAAACGTTAAAGCCCTCTTGAAGATTCTCAATCTTGGGCTAGGTGGTAAAGGTGTCAAGTCTCAATACACAACACAAACAACGCCAAGAGGACCTACATAGCACCTAGAGGACCTAGCTCTGCCTCGCCATAGCACTGTAACAATTCTGTCCCCTCTTCATACGGGGCCTAGTTGCTCAAACCAAAATAGGAGTTTGCCTCCAATAGCTCCAGGGTCTTGGCGTTAGTATCACCTGAGGTCATGATGGCCAAAGGCAGCTCCAAGGATGAGTTTCCAGAGGCCTGACGAGCATAGCTTTGAAAAGCTAGGATATACTTGGCGTAGAGCTCCATGAAGGTCATCCTATGGCACTTCAAGGTCGTCCACAGCGCCACGGCAGAACATGCAAAAAGATCAAAAAGGACGAAAGGACGATGAATGATTACGTCGCAATTTTGGGAATTTATCTTTATCCAACACCTTGAAACACCACAAAGGTTGATGTTGCTGGCATAGTATCCCGGAGGTCAACTCGGCCGTGATGCCAATCTTGATTCCTGGATAACCCAGGCGCTCCCCCAAGCCTCCTGCAACAAGGCAAAAGCAAGTCTTGCTGAGCTGCTCCATGCCTTTCTTCTCAAAATCTGCGTATGTCCTTGGTTGAATGGGAAAAGCAAAGAACACAATGATAATAGTAGAAGGGAAAGAACAGTATACTTCTCCCCTGTTAGGACATCATTGATGTCCCATGTTGCATCATGGTTGATGCCGCGGATCTTAGAGCCTGGTCCAGTTTCTCCAGTGAGGCGTTCGCCCATGGGAACCTCTGGCGTCAGCCCTTCAAAGGGATTCTTGCCAGCTTTGGCATCTGCTAAAAGTCCTGCACCCGGCGTAGGACTAAAACACCCCCGACAAACATTGTGGCACAAAAATATCACAACATGCACCAGTTACTGTATTCGATTCGGAATATATATATATATATACAATATAGAGAAAAACACATAAACACATATCCAGCTGTGGTTGCTAAATTTTTAAATGTGTGAGCTGGATCTACTTCCTCTCCGAACTTTTTTGCGAAAAGTCGAAAAGTTGCGAAACGTCGAAAAGTCAAAAATTCAAAAAAGTCGAAAAGTGCACGAAAAGGGAACGGTGATAAAAAGAGTCACCTGCCAAAAGGTCCCGGGGCTTGCCGGGTCCTTTTGGCGGGCGTCTCTTTTTGAAGGTCATCGGGGCTGCGTGTGTTGAACTCCAGATCCTCTCTCTGTGTGCAGGAGCAAAAGCAATGTTTGGATCAATTCTGAGACTTTTGTTGAAGGGCACGGCATGTGACAGGTGTCCAAAAATCTCGAAAAGTCGAAAAGTCTCGAAAAGTCAAAAAGTATCGAAAAGTCGAACAGTCTCGCTACGTGCTTTCGTTTGCTTTACCTTTTTGACTTCTTGACTTTTCTCACTTTTTGACTTTTTTGCGTTTTGCTTGGTGTCTTGCAAATAGATCGTCGCTAAAGGATTAGCGAGCTTAGCATATATAAACACCCACTAATTACTGCAAATGTCCAAAGTCAGAAGACTGATTTCGCAACTGCGTCCTCGCGCCCTTTGGAGATACCCCGCCAACCCACCACCTGGGAGCTTCGCGTCCATATCGCTCAGGTCTGCTACGATGGCTTGCTTCTGCTCGTCGGTCAAACCCTCAAACATGTGTCCCTGAAGGAGGGCCAAAAAGTTCGAACAGGTTTGATGCTTCCTTGGCGTCTAGGTATGGTTTGTACATGTCTGTGCACTTCATTACGCTTCCCTCTTGGTAAGACTTGAGGCCAGAGGGGGTGAACGAAAGCTAGCCGGGCTTCCGGTGGTCTGCTGCTGGTGCTGCTGCTGCTGGTGCTGCTGCTGCCGCTGCTGCGCTGGGCGCTGCTGCGCTGGGTGCTCTGCAGGCGCCGGGTCGTCTGCTGCTGCTGCTGCTGCTGGCGCTGGGTGGTCTGCTGCGGCTGCTGCTGCCGCGGCGTTGGGTATGCTGCTGCTGCTGCTGCCGCCGCTGGGTGGTCTGCTGCTGCTGCTGGTGCTGCTGCTGCTGCTGCCGCTGCTGCGCTGGGCGCTGCAGATGCTTGGTGTGCTGCAGCTGCTTGGTGGTCCCGCTCACCGCGCGCAGGGGGGAGTCGAACCGCGGGGGGGGGGGGGTCCATAAGATTGATTTAATCAATTATTTGAGGTTTCTGAGGTGCGTCCACCCCGTCACTTAACTTGCTAAAGCAAGAGCAACTCCAGCTAGCTAAGGCTAGCTTTCGTGACAATCAATGTCATTCGTGCCTGGTAGTAGGGCCCATCGAATAGCGCTTCGACTGACAGGCTCTTGCTAAAGAGTGCACCCATGGCAACGCGCGAAGGTGCAACGCTCCCAGTCTTGGACGAGAAACCCTGTTGTCAAGTGTCAGGAATAGCACACAATGCCAAGGCTCAATGGCAAGCCTTTGGCAGTGGATCGGGTCAAACGACGGGGTGCATGATGGCAACGAGTGGAACTGAACGAAGCGGGAAGTGACTGCAGCAAGTCAGTAAAGGCCACAAACAAGACACCGGCCACAGTGAACGACGGATTGCGGCTTGCATCGTTTGCCAGCCTCGTCATTGAATTTGAGGGCTGCCATGCCCCACAAAGCAATAGACCTCCACTGACCCTCTCAGTTTCCTTTGAACATGCAGGTTTTCACCTTTTTCCACGTGGACTTGCGTGGGGCCACCAATCCCCCAAGAAGGTTACGGCTTGTCAACGGGTAGGTCCATGCTTTTAGACTCTGGCATGGCGAAACTTTATGAAAGCTTGGGCTCCACATCGCGGCAAATGGAATGTTTGCAAATGAAACAAATGATAACACATGTGTGATATTAATAATGCGTGTTTGTACGATTTTGCACGAAACCCTCCTCACTACCAAACAAGATCTTGGATGTCTTGCGTGTCTGCCAAGGAGCAGGTCTCCCATCTTGAGATCGCCAAGTGCAACACCAATCTGTCCCAGGAATGCAAGTAAAGAAGCAAACCAAGAACACAGTATACAATATAGCAGCTTCAAAGAATTGAGTAGGGCTTCATTAAATTCCTTTTATATGATTGCAAGCACGTTGCTCGGGCCAGATTGTGTACCAGTGTTGCACATAGCAAATCCTCAAAAGCGATGAAGCCTTTAGCAAAAAAACATGTCGAAGATCTCCTATGCATTGTCGAAACCAGGTAGATGGACCAAACAGGACGTTGATTCCGAGCCTCGGTCCTGATCCGCTGCAGGCTGCCTATCAACCGCAAAGAACAAGCAAGGACTAAACATACGATAACATAAGTATCGTTTTCTATCCCAAAGTTTGGCTATTGCACAAAAGGACGCAGTTAGGACGTAATATCAACCATGTCCTTGCAAAACCTCTTTGTGACTTCTTGGGCGTGTTTAAGAGGCTTACGGCTGCATTGCCTGATTCGAACAAGCAAAGGCAGGATGGCAGCTGGGGTGGCATGCCCTGGAGGCATGCAGCACATGCCCGAGGAAAAGAAGCTGTTTGGGCCCCTCTAACAAGGCTCCTTTAAGGGGTGGGTTATTGAGGGGGCCCAAACACCTTCCCCTTTGTTCCCTCTCTATATCAAATACTATTTGTGTGTGTGTGGGTGCTGAACTCTTTTATTTTTTCCCAAGTAATGTGGCCTTGGCTCTGTCGACCACCTGGATCTGTCCATCCGAGGGCCCACAAGCAGCCAGCGATCTGCTGTGGCATCCTGCGACGGGTGTTCTGTATAGTTTGGAAGGACCGAGGTTAAAAGTGAAAATGGGTTCCATCAACAAATCATGATTTTGTGCATCAGGTTGTCAGCTGGATGGCTATCCACCCTTCCAAATACAAGAGGCCTTACAGTACATAGCCTTAGGGATGAACAGCTCTCAGTATTCTCGAAGTCGTCTCGGAAATCTACCTTGTTCATCTGGCCCCCGCGAACGGTAAGAGACAGTAAGAGTCAAGCAGCCTGGCAACTCAACCTTTTGGCAGGATAAGCTAGCAATATATGTGGCAACATATCTTTAAGGTACCAATAAAGCTTTAACATCATTCATCAAATGGGTTGTCAGGCACCAATGATGCAGTTACCCTTTTTTTGCCAATCTGCAATCTTGCTGTGCATGATGGGCACACGTGGGGAACCCAAGCGGTCATATCTTTTGCAACGCTCTCCATCGACTCCATGATTGCAGGTATGAGCTTTTTGGCTTCTTGGTGCGCACAAGTCTCCTGATGGAAGGGCATGGCACCAACATCCACCGGGTTGGATTGGATCAAATGATCAAGCCTAAATTTGGTTAAGCATGGCTAAAGAGGCTGGGTAGCTCTGAACTCAAGCGGACATGTTTAGGGTATCCTATGTTTCTGTTGCAGTCCCGTCGTTGAAATGACAATTCTGATAAACATATCATAACATATCTGTTTGTACTGTACATGTATGTGGGCACACTTGTTGTAGTTGGGAAGCATACCTCCATCCACAAGAAGGCCATGGAATTCCTGCTAGGTTAAGCTGAACTCGGATCTGACTGAAACTTGCTAACTACTATGTGGCACCCCTAGCTTCACTCAAACAAGACCCGTACAACCGCAAAAGCAATATGCTTTAACAGTAAAACAAGCAACATCGTCATCTCCTGTCATTTGTCGCTCACATGTCTTTTTCCATCCGGCCTGCAACATGGCTACGGAGTAGAGCAAAGAATACCTCTGCCACCGCACGGGGATCACTGCAGTGGAGAATCGAATGTGGAACACCGCTTTGCGGTCTGCACCGCTTCTGAGGAAAAGCAACTCCACGGAGTGTTCTAAATGGTCTAAGCAATGCAACCGTTTGAATGGCAAGCAACCGTTTAAATGGTCATAGTCCAAAATCATCAAAACACATGCAATTGACTTCTGTGAAACGCAGACCCAGTGAAAGCTCAAGTTGCACGAAAGCCAAGCAGCGTGTTGTGCGAACTCATCCTTGGCCTCCTCTCGATTTCTTCCACCACAGAGGCTACGAGTGCCTGACGACAAGAGATGACAAGAGACAAAGGACTACTACAGAGTCACCTTCGAACCACATGAAATGGTGCGCAAGCTTTCCCGCATCCTACCTAGATCTACCTAGTAGCTTCCTAGCTACTAACTACTTACGAGTACCAGTACCACTTACTACTAGCTACATAGGCCTACTAGCGGCCTAACCCCCCGAGTATCAAATGAAGAAAAACAACTGTATTGTCATCTGCAGTAAGGGTTGGATGTCGTTAGGTTCACTGCCGTGCCTTGAGGAGTTCATCGGGAAGAACTCGGGTCAGTGCCAAGGAATGCAAAAGATCACACAAGTCCTTCGAGTACAAACATACCCTTCACTTGTCACAGTCATGGCACCTGAAAACCGTTGAACTAGAATCACGAAGGGCATGTAATTTGGAAAAACACTGTTTGAACGGCTTGGAAAACCTGTTCCGAGCCCTGCGGCATTCATGTCCTGCACTGGGAGATTTTGAAAGGAAGCTCTGGAAAGCTGGTTCGCGAGGAAAGCGGTAAGTGGTGCCACGTTCAGCTTCATTGCCTTGGGACTGGGATGCCCAATGAAAAGACACTTCCATTGCAATCACTAAAGTGGTGCATGCCATGTTTTCCGACAGCAGTACGGCCCTCAGGTTCACGGCGCACGGTTTGTTCAAGGCTTTTAAGAAGCAGGCGTGGAATTGTGAGCGAAGTGTGGTGGCCGAGAACAAGCTGCTGATGGTCTCCTCTCGGCACAAGCCAGAATCTGCACCCGAACCCGAAGTCCGAGCATTTGCACAGAAGAGTGTAGAAATGAAAAGCATGTAAATGTAACCTGTCACTCGGACACTGGTTGCGGAGAGCAAGGGGACCGAGTGGAGGCTCGAAACTCACGAAGTTTCCGGGCTCGAACAAGTTCGGACGGCACACGAAGTCGCGCCCTTTTACGGGGCCATTGGCGTCAGATCGATCGCCCACCGCTAGTGGTGGAAACATGGGACATTCGGGCCGTGATGGCCGCACATGAAACATATGAAACATCCATACTGTCAAGTGGCTTGAATTGCCAACTGCAAATTCACACCGGTAAAAGGTGTATGAACAGAAAAATCATCAGCTTCAAACTTCAATCGATCATCCATTCCTCATATGGCAGGTTGCCATAGTCTCGCCTCCAGGACATCATGTCCTCCTGCAGTGTGGTGCCGCTCAGGCCATTGACTCGATGAGGAGTCTGAGGAGTAGGGTTGCAAAAAGCGCAACAAGGACGTCGATCAACACGGTGAGCCTGCTTTAGGCCATGGCAATCAGCTCGGACGTGGAAGGTGTGACCGAAGGGTGTCACGTGGGTGCCCATGGTGAGAGGGCAATCTTCATCAAAGTGGTCCAGGAGTTCCCGGTAGCAGCGCGACAGCAAAGCTTGGCATTGTCGAAAGGACTGATCAATTTCTTCGGCTTCTTGCTGTTCTAGGCGCCATTGTTCCATCATCTCGTTGTGATGCCTGCGGGTTTCCGCATTGGCCTCAGCAGCTTTCACCGCTGTGAAATGCGGCGGTCGAAGCGTAGGCTTTGGTCATCCAAAGCACTGTGGAAGTGTCGCGAATTGCGAGCTTGTGCCACCCTCAACTTGACCTTCAGGTCGTTCACCTGACGGCGGTGCTCATGAAATCTGCCCAGCTTGTAAGTCAGGTAGCTCACAATGAGGGTGATGAAGAGGATGAAGAGGAACATGTAGGTCAAGATGGACCATTCCTCAGCAGGCTCATCGCCAGCCAGACAAAGACCATCTGGCTTCAACTGCGTGAAGTCACCTGTGGGCTCTGCCGTAACAGCCTTGATCTGTGTGAAGTAGATCATCATTGCCATTGAGGTTCTCAAGGGCTTGGAACTTGGCCACGATGTAGGTCCAGTGTCGGCGGCTTCATCCTGCAAGACATTCTCATCCTCATAGTTGGACTCTTCCTGCACACTTTCAAGGTGTTCGGTGGAGTTGAAGTGGTAGTGTTGTGGTTTGTGTTGTTTTGTGTTGGTCTTCTTCTTCACTTTTGCATCGGCGAACTCTTGCCGACTTTCTTCGCGTTCTTGTTTGCTCTTTTTCTTGGCCGAGGTATACTGAGGATCCCAGGCCAGCTTGATGCGGTGTCGCCTCAAGCGGTCAGCCAACAGGCTTCTTGTGGAGCTCTTTGTCAAACCATCAGCGAACTGTCTTTCGCTGCTAACCCATTTGAGACAACCTTCAAGATCTGTTGTCTGCTGCTTAGCCACCTTGATCTCAAGGTAGGTGCGCTTGTCCACTGAAGAACTTGCGGAGGTGGTGGTCTCTTTGTGCCATGCATCGTAGAGAGCTTTTGCGTCAGTGACCAAGGTAGGTCGTAGAGCTGAACCTTCTTGTAGTCGTTCACGAAGCTTGGGCTTTGGGTCAAAAATGATTGACCAGAACCTGCAGATGTATTCCGCACTGTCGCTGGCGCCACCAGCTGCTTGAGCCGCTGCACTCAAACTGGAACGTGCGACTCGAGGCAGTTTGTAGCTGCGCCAGTCAACCACATGGTATGGGGTCTCCTTTTCAAAGACCTCCTCAGGGACCAGGATCGCCAGGTGTCCTCCTTGAAA